GGGGGGGCGGAGGGGTGGGGAGACAAGAGATGAGCTCCTAAGGGCACAGCCGAGGGCAGATGGCAGCGCCCCCGTCCTCAGGCAAGGTCTGTGCGAGGCTGGCAGTCTGGGCAGACCTTGGGAGGGCGGGCAGAGATGAACTGGGGCCAGGCTCCCTTCCAGGCCCAGTCCCAGGCCAGGGCTGGTGAGGCCGGGCCAGGGGCTAGGCAGAGGGGTGATGCTGAGCTACGGGAGGCACTGTGGCTCCGCTAGGCGTAGAACTCCTCCTGCTTGTCAGGCTTCTGGTACGTGACGCTCGCCTGCTTGGGCTCCTCCAGTGTGTAGCTTCCCTCATCCTTCTTCTTCATGCGGTAGATGAGTAACGTGACCAGGAAGGCAGCGAACAGGGCGCCCACCACCCCACCTACAATCACAGCTGTGGGAGAAGAAGGCAGAGGTCATGGGCTAAAGACAGGGCAGGACAAGCTTAGAGCCTGGGCAGGGGACTGAGAGTGAGGGGTGGAGTGAAGTCAACTCGAACACCCCCAGCCCTGGCCGGCCTTCACAGCCCCTCGCCAGGGCCTGGCTCCCTTCTGGATGCCTGACACACACTCACAGAAGCCCACACACACTCTAAGGGGGTGTACGATGCCACCAGTCGGAAGACGCCCCGACGTTTCATAGACATTAGAAAAGCAAAAAACTGTGCCAGCGAAACTACAACACATCCCAACTATGGAAGGGCCTAGCGCTTACTTAAAAAAGAGTTAACTTATGAGCAGATGTGCAGTGAGGACGGGTGAAGTGCAAAATGACCGTCCCCACTCTACAGATGAGGAAAAGGGAGCCTGGAGAGCTGAAGGACCTGCCTGAGGCCACACTGCTCCTGAGTGGGGAGCACGGTCTGGACCACGAGTCCAGAGACTCTTCGGGAGAGGCAGCCAACGCAGGTCCTCAGGGCATCAAGGCTGGGGGCAGGTCAAGCCAAAGGATGCGGTCAGAGATTAGGGTCCAGGGGCTGAGGTCCTGGAAGGGTTGACCAGCATGGCCCAGGGAAGCAGGTGTCAGTGTCACACCCTGGGATAGGGGAAGGTCAGAGGAGGAACCAGAGGGCAGGTCTGGGTGTTGAGGCCCCAGCTTTCCCTCCTAGGAAACGAGGCTCCTAGAAACCCACGCCCTGACCACTTCTTGGGTTCCCAGAGGTCAAACTGAGGCCCAACCAGCTGCCTCACTCTGGGCTCCTCCCGGGCCCCAAGCCTCACCTACGAGCACCTCCTTCCGCTCCAGGATGCTTTTCTGAGGCAGCTGAGCAGCCGAGCTGCCTGAGTCGATGGCATTGTCCAGGAGGCCGGGGCCTGGGCGTGCACCCTTGGGCAGCGTCCCAGGTGGAGGTGACGGCTTGGCTGCAGCCCCGCCCACGGCCACCACCTCATTGGCTGTGTCTGGCTGTGTGGTCTCCTCCTCTGGCAGCTCAAAGTCCCCGCTGGGCCCCCCGCTCACGGGCACCTCGGGCTCATCCCGGATCGTGGTCAGGATGGACTCCGGAGTTGGGGTCTGTGGGGAGGGTGGCATGAGCCCAGGAGCCAGGCCTGCCCGCACCTCTTGCCATGGGGCAGCCTGTCCCCCTTGCCCCCCACCTCACCCCCCTTCCCCAATGGGTCTGACCCTCAGGAAGCACTTGCTACGTGTCAGGCACGGTGCTAAAACACATGACGGGCATTTGACCCTCACGACGTCCCCAGGAAGGAGATATCATTGCCGCTGACTTACAGAGCTGGTAACAGGCTGAGAGAGGTGAAGAGACTTGCCGAAGACACACAGCCAGGAAGTGGTGGAGGCTGGAATCCCAACCTCTCCAGCTCCTGAGGCCGTGTCTTTGGCCACCACACTACCTGCCTCTCCTCTCCCCGGGCCCCGTCCCGTCCCCAGCCCACCTCTGCCCCCTCTCTCTCTAGCCGCCTTACTTATCCTCGGGAGCCTGCCGCCAAATTGCTGGCTGGGGGCTGCTCGATGCAGCGTGGTCCGCCGTCCACGCGCCTGAGGCAGACGGGAGTCCCTCGGCCTGGGGGTCACTCCAAGAGCACACCCGCAGAGCATCACGCCCCCTGGAGGTGTGTCCAGGAGGCCAGCCCGGGAGCTCCCACCGCGTGGATGGGGACCCAGGGCTTGGATGCTGGGCCTGGCGTCCTGCTCTCCATACCCTTCCCACCTGGCTGACAACCATGAGACACCAGGCAGCCCCGGCGGCTCAGGGGAGCTGAGGGCAGGGCCTGCATCCGGCCGGGGCTGGCCCTGACCTGCAGCAGCTCCAGCCCCGACGGCCCTCATCCATGAGGCAGGCGGCAAGGGGCTTCTGTACCCCAATCAGTGCTGCTACCTGCCCCCCTCGCCCCGCATGCCCAGCAGGGACCCGGCTGCTTCTCCCATTTCCTTGATCCCATGCGTCCCCGGCCTCCCTGACATCTTCACCCTCTTCCCTTCAACCCTCCACCCCTCACCCCTCACCCCTACACACACACACACACACACACGCGCGCGCGCACGCGCGCGTGCGTGCCCCTGGCCTCTGGAGCCAACTGACCCGCCGTCGCCAGCCAAGCCGCCTCTGTCGCAGGACGAAGAGGCAGCGCCACCCCGAGCAGCGGGTGCGGGCTGAGGGATGGCATGCTCCCCCGCCGCACCCCCAGCCCGGGCAGGAGGCCGCACGCGTGAGCTGCGGGTTCTCCTCTCCCGCGGCCTCCCTCTCAGTCACCTTCAGACTAACAATGGTGGCGACGGGGGTAACAATGACAGTAGGGAAACTTCTGGTTGGTTTACTGCTGCCAGGCACTGTTCCAGGCACTGGACAATTCCCACCACACTACGGTTCACATCCTATTATTTCCTCCTCTTCGCAGATGAGGGAATGGATGTCCAGCGAGCACCAGTGACTTCCTGAGGTCCCAAGGCTCCCAAGGGGCAGAACTCCACGCCACGGTGCCCATCTCCCGGGCCCCTGGCCCGCCCCCGCCGCCACACTGCACCCACTCCCTTCCCCACCCGTATCTTGTCCCAGCATCCCAGCCTCCCTTCCATCCCCAGCCACCTCGACCTCTGTCCTCAGCCCGGGCCTCACTCCCAGCCTCGGCCCTCCGGCCTCATGTGTCTCTCACCCTCTCCCGTCCCCAGACCCTCCCGGCCCTCAGGCCCTCCTGCCTGGCTGCATCGTCCCTCACCCAGGCCCTGACCCACCCTCCTCTCCCCACCTGCTCACCTGAGCCACCTCTGTGGGTCCCGGGGCAGTGGTCCCCAGGGGCAAGGTGCTCTTCTCGGGGATGTCAGCCTCCTGGGTGGTAGCTGGCCTGGGAAGGGCCCTTGGCCTGGAGGTAGCTGTGCTGACCATCCTGGGTGTTGGGGCCTCTGTGTCCAAGACAGCCACTGTGGTGGGAGGTGAGGGCGCTGCTGGGGTGGTGGCCCGGGCCGTGGCTGCCGTGGTCAATGGAAGAGGCAGAAGCCTCTGCACGCCGGTGGTCCTTATGACGGAGGGGGTGGCCGTGGAAGGGGGGGCCGCGGGGAGGCTGGGGGCGGCAGTGGCCACCGTGGCAGGCACCGTGGCCACAGTCAGGGCCTCTGCAGTCGTGGCGGCCGTGGTAGCCGTGGGAGTGGAGATGGTGGTGGCTCTCTGGCTGGGCTCTCCTGGGACTTCTGTCACCACGGGGGGGCTGGTGGCCGGCTCCGGGGTGGGGTGCTCAGAGGGGAGCTCTTCCAACGGGGTGCCCACAGGCTGGATGTCCACGGTGGGCAGCACTGCAGGTGTGGTCGACACTGCCACGGCTACATCCGGGCTGAACCGCATGGCTGTCTCGATGCCTGACTCCTGCTCGAAGTCTGAGGGGGCGGGGGAGAAGAGAGAGCTAGGGAGCTGGGTGATCATGCGGGGCATGAGGGCCCCAGGTAAGGAATGGCCATCAAGATGGGAGGGCTCCCAACCCTCACTCTGCACAATTTTCCCAGGACAAAATGAGGGAAAGAAGGAAGGTAAAGCCTGGCCAAAGGCTACCAGTCGGCTGGTGACTGGTGGATGTTCCCTAAGTGCTCTCTGCTTAGCCAAAATTTCTTCTAGGGGGGCACCTCTTCCAGGAAGTCTTCTGTGATTATTCCAGACCACACCGCCTGGACCTTCTGGCAGGTTGAACCCAGGTAGTGTCAACTAAAGCCCTACAGGGTTTTTAGCCCTTGCTAAAGGCTGGGGGCAAGCAGGGGAGTGGCATTCTGGGAGAAGTCAGACCTGGGTACCTCCTACCATGAGCACGTGGTGGCGGGCACATTCAGAGCTCCCCGCAGAGTCACAGGCCACAGGGAGACAGCAAGGCGGGGAAGGAGCCCTTCCTACAGGGGAATGCTGGAGCAAACTGGCTGCCTCTGAGCCAGGACACGTGAAGGGGCCCGGGAGGAGATGAGAGCCGGAGAGAGAGAAGGGGCGCCTGACCAGGCAGAGACAGGAGGGGTGGCAAGCAGCCAGGAAGGTTCAGGAGGAGAGACATGACCCAGCAGAGATGGATTTTACGAAGATTAACTTGCAAGAGGCTTACATGGAGTGAGCTAAAGCAGGGAGACTCGAGGCAGGGGACCATGGGAGGCCAGGGCTGTGGCACGCAATCTCCTACCATCCCATCAGACCAGCTTGTCCCCTCCTTGGGCCCAGTCTCAGCACAGACCCAATGTGGGGCTCAAACTCACAAGCCCCAGATCAAGAGTCGCCTACTCTACTGACTGAGCCAGCCAGGTGCCCTGAGCACTCAGCCCTTTTTACTACTGTTTTTCGAGCTCCTTCTCTGTTCTAGACCCTGACGTCTTGTGCTGAAGCCTTCCAGAGGCTCTAAGAAGACATATTTGGTCTCATCATTCCCAAGTGAGAAGACAGGGCCTCAGAGAGAGGGAGTGGCTGAAGGAGGTATAGCTGTTAGGTGGCAAAGCCGGGATTCAAACTCAGGGCACCTCCCTCCCTTTGCACCACTCTGCTGGCCTTTCCCAGGGCCAGGCTGTCCCAGGCACAGTGGAGGCATCTGCCCCTTTCCATGGCTCCCGGAACCTGCCCTGGGCTCCCGCTGATTGGACAGGAGGGGGCCCCTGACCCAAGCTGAGTCAGCCAAATGATCTCACTGAGGATACGCCACTCAACCCAGACGTGGCTACTAAGTCCCTGCAAGAGGTCAGGGCAGTACTGTTCCCTGGGTTACCGAGGAGTGTTGTGTTCCCTGCCAGGGGCAGGAAGTCAGCAGAGAGACACGAGCAGAGACAGAACCATGGGGAGCAGGGGGTCCCGAGCTCTGAGGTCTCAAAGCCCTGATTCCAGCCCCAGGAGGGTGGTCTGCCCTTCCGGTGCTCGCGGTCCAGGAGCCTCCCTTGCCTGACCTCCCCCTCCCCGCACCCCACCGTGGAAGCGAGCCTGCGTGGGCCCCCGGGGGCAGACAGGATTGCCCACACACAGGGGAGAGGAGAGGCGAGGTACTTACAGCCTGAGCCCGACCCTGAGTAGAGGTCATCCAGCTCGTCATCGGGGAAGGAGTCGTCATCCCCAGAGCCCTCGAGATCCACGGGCCTCTCAAAGTTCTCGCTGCGCCAGCGCTGAGCCTGGGGAGGGCAGAGTCGGGCACAGAGCTCAGCACCTGGGGCCAGCAGCCTGGATGGGCCCAGAGGGACAACAGACACGCTCATGGGCCAAGTGGCAATGAGGGACAGCATCAGGTATGGCCACCACGTGGGCAAACAGAGCCAGGGCGGGACTGATTATCACTTCCCACCCTCCCGGGGGCCAGGGTAGCAGCCTCATCTTCCTGCCTGACGGCCACCACTGCAGACCAGACCACTCCCCCACGCCCTGATCAGAACTGCTAGGTGCCAGAACTGGGCTTAGAGCCAGAATGCTGGCTTTGAGTCTGGCCTCCAGCACTTAACTGCATGTGTGACCTAGAGTGAATTACTAAGTCTCTCCCCGCCTGTTTACTCATTACCCATAAGCAAAGAGTGCCTGCCTTCTTGGGGTGCCGTAAGCACACAGTGGGCTAACGTGGGTGTGAGCACGCAGTGGGCTAACGTGGGTGTGCGCACGCAGTGGGGCTAACCGTGGCTGTGAGCACACAGGGGCTAATGTGGGTGTGCGCACGCAGTGGGGCTAATGTGGGTGTGCGCACGCAGTGGGGCTAATGTGGGTGTGCGCACGCAGTGGGGCTAATGTGGGTGTGTGCACGCAGTGGGGCTAATGTGGGTGTGTGCACGCAGTGGGCTGACGTGGGTGTGAGCACGCAGTGGGCTGACGTGGATGTGAGCACGCAGTGGGCTGACGTGGGTGTGAGCACGCAGTGGGCTGACGTGGCTGTGAGCACGCAGTGGGCTGACGTGGGTGTGCGCACGCAGTGGGGTAACGTGGGTGTGCACATGCAGTGGGCTGACATGGCTCTGAGCACGCAGTGGGCTGACGTGGGTGTGCGCACGCAGTGGGGTAACGTGGGTGTGCACATGCAGTGGGCTGACATGGCTCTGAGCACGCAGTGGGCTGACGTGGGTGTGCGCACGCAGTGGGGTAACATGGCTGTGAGCACGCAGTGGGGCTAATGTGGGTGTGCGCACGCAGTGGGCTGACGTGGCTGTGCACACGCAGTAGGCTGACGTGGCTGTGAGCACACAGTGGGCTAACACGCATGCAGTGCCGAGCACCTGTTGCATACAGGTTAGCGTGACTCTCAGTGTGGCCACTGTCATCAGACCCACCCTCAAAGTGCCTGTCACAGACAAGAGCCCACCCGGTCCTCAAGAACAGAGGCGGGGCCCCCATTCCCCAGAGGAGGGAGCTGAGGCCCACACAGCGGCCCCCGGTCACCAGACAGCACATGACGCAATGAGATTCAGACCCTGCCCGGGACCCGAAGTTTCCGACCCCGCAATCCCAAAGGGGCTGTGTAGTTAGTCCCATCAGACAGACACGGGGTTTGGGGAGATTTGGGGCTTTCAGAGGGAAGTACCTTGGGTAAGAATGGCTGGGGGCGGGGGGTGAAGGGAGAGTAGGGAGTGTAGGCTCAAGCCCTGGCCCTGGGTCTTCCCCAAAACAGGAAGTTGGCCCACCTCCCCACAAAGCATCTTAATGCCTGAGTTAGCTGAGGGCCTGAAGGCTGTTTCCACTTCAACAGGGTCAGAAGGGGTAAGAGTGGCTTCTCAAGGGTCCAGCTCACCTGGCCTAAGACTCCTCCCGGAGCTGGGGCTGTCCCTCCCCACGGCAATCCTGCAGTGAGAGCCAGCACAAAGGCAAGCAAGGCAGGAGGGCACCCTCACCCCCAGGGGCAGGCTTGGCCCCACCCCCTGCCACACCTCTGACCCTGGCTCCAGGCTGGGCCAAGCCAATCCCTGCCCCTGAGAGCTTTCCCAAGCAAAGGGAGATGGACGCCTGGGGCCCAGATCTGGAGGACTAGCACTTGGGGCTGAAACAAGCGAAGAGAGAGAGACATCTCCAGCAAAGGGAAGGGAGTAAGCACAGGCTCCGAGGTGGGGAGGTGCAACCCGGGCTCTCACCCAGGGTGTCTCTGCACCCTTCCACTTGCTGGGTTCCAGCCCCGCTGGCGGCTCTCTGTTCCTGGAATCTGATCTCTCTTGTCACTCATGCTGTTCCCTCCACCCAGAACACTCTTCCTTCTCGGCCCCGCACCCTCCAACTTTTGCCCAGCCGACCTTGACGGCCCCTGTCACTTCTGCCGAGAAGCCCCCCTGCTCTGATCTTTCAGAGGATCCTGTGCTTCTGAATGTGCACCTATCACCGCTGCCTGCATGTGTGCCCACTCGGTGACTGCCCACCCCACCGAACTACACCTTGAAGGATGGAGGCAGGACCTTGCCTGGCACATAGTAGGTATTCAGGAAGTATCTATTAAGGAAGAGTTGAACTGGAAGATGGGACTAATTCCTGGGGCAGGGGCGGAGTAGGGGCAGGCTGGAGCTGCAGCCGGGGAAGCCCCATCACGGCAGGCTCTCGGTGACCTGCCGACAACTTCATCCTGGAAATGGGTTACTTTTCATCCTGACCACCCGTCAGAAGATGGTGAGCGCTGATCTGAGGAAAGGTCCAAACATCCGCACCGTCTGCCCGATGTGGGGAACCACAAAAGGTGTGTGAGCAGGAGGGGGACTGGTCAGTGCTGCATGCGGCGCTCAGCCTCTCACAATCCCACCCACCCGACAGGCCCCCTTCTGGGGTTCAGACACAGCTAGGGTGAGGCCCCTAAACCTGGCTTCCTGCCTCAGCCCCGACCACCTGCTCCACAGCCCTACGCAGGCCAGCCAGGGCAAAAGGCCAGGGCAGCGAGCCAGGAGATTCCCCCTGTCCCTCCACCCTACCCGTTACCCCCCCCCACACACACACACACACACGCCAAGTAATGAATTAATCAGTATTTACTTGCTACCAGTGAGTCATGGAGTGGAACAATGAGTGTAATTGCTCCCGTGACTAATTGCTGGGTCTTTCTCGGTTTTAGACATTCCAGGAGCTCAGAGCGGCTCTCATCCGACTTGCCCCAGCCCCCATCTCTGCCCCCACTACCCGGAAGAGCAAATCCCGGGACCCCAGACGAGGGAGATGGAAGGCTCCCTGCACCACCAGCCAAGCTGGGGTCCCTTGGAGACATTCTGTGCAATTCTCAGGCAAGCAGCCAGGAGCCAGAGATGGGCAATTCCTGCTCAGGGCCACACAGCAGGACGGGGACTGAGCAGGGACCAGTGATCAGACTCCCATTTGTGGGCGACGTCACCTTCACGGTGTTTCCATCCTTCCAGAAAGGCCAGGGAGTAGCTGAGAGACCTCTAGCTGGGAGGAGGGGTTCTAAGAAGTCTGAGGTCCCTGGGGACCCCCAAACTGGAGTAAATGTGGGGGCCAAAATAGGGAATCCACGTGATTCCTCAGTGGCCCCTGCCATACAACAGCCCCTAACGATTAGCTCCTGGAAGGGCCTACACGAATCCAAAGACTCCCCCCAAAGCCAAAGACTCTTGAAATGACACGTCCAGAGACAGAGAAAGACCATACAGAGACACACCCTGATACACAGGCACCCCAAGGCAGCCAGAGAGAGGCATCTTGTGTTGGCGTGCCTTTGGGTACAAACAGGTGCATGCACGGGGAGGGGGGCAGGCACAGGGTGGGGGCGCACACTGTGCAGCTCTGCGGCTCAGAGACAAGCATGGAGCCTCCTGTGAACCCATCAGCCTCCACTCAGGTAGCTCTCACCTAGATACTATTCATCCCTAGCTCAGTAGCCATCGACATGACAACCGTTACCATGGCGACCATCTCCTCCATGCTAAGGACCAGGAGCTCCAGCTCCCCACAGAGATGTGGTGGGGGCAGGAGAGGGAAAGATCATGGAAGAACAGAGAGGATGCGGGGGGAGGGGGCAGAGACGCAGGGCAGAGGGAAGCCAGGGGTCAGAGGCGCACAGGGGGGATGGGGCAGGAGCAGTGCAGGGAGGACTCGGTGAGGGAGAGAAAGCAGAGAAGGCGAGAGTGGGAGGCAGAGCGAGAGAACTCTCTCACATCTTAATTTAGCCTCATGCTCATCAGACAAAGCTGGGGAAGGGGCCACCTCAGTGATTTTCCAAACCTGCATCCGAGAGAACATCCTTTCTGAATAATAAGCGGCCTCCAGATGAGATGGAAGGAGGGATGGTCAACAGCCTAGTCACCCCTGAACTCCCCCCGCCCCCGGGAAGCTTAACCTGGGGGGTGGGGGCTGGGGTACAGGATGCCATCTTGCCCAGTCCTCCCCGCCCAAAGCCAGCTGAGGGCCAGCCTGACCCCTCCCTGGGCCAGCTGGGGGGCAGGGGCTCAGCGGGGCCTCCCAGGAACACTGCAGGGGTGCTGGGGGTTGCAGCTCCCAGGGGACCAAGAGGAGCCAAGAGGAGAGATGGGGGCAGGGAAAGCCTCCTAAGTCACAAAGTGCCAGAGGAGGATGGTGACAACAGCCTTCGCCTTCGACCCCCAAACGACCTCTCTATTTGCATAATTCCATGCATAATTAGCATCATTATCCAAGCCATTCCTTAAAGGAGCACTGAATCCGAAGGCCCCAGGACCCTGTGGCCTGCCCCTGCCCCTCACTGCGCCCCACCTCCAGGGAAACTCACAACCCCCCCCAGTTTGATAAACCCATCCATATGCCCAACACCCCCACACACTGCAGCAAGCAGGCAGTCCAGGCCGCATCCTTGCGCACACACACCCCGCTGTGCCCCAGAGACACGCAGGTATACACAGACCCCAGCACACACACAATCCTGAGCAACGTTCACCGGCCCCAACCTGCGTGCCACCTCAGCTCATAGACAACACACCCCACACAGGCTTCAGCATAATCTAACCACAGAGTGGCCCCCACCTCACCCAGGGCATGTGCCAACCCATCCCCATGCCCCAGCATGTTCCCTAAATCACACATCCCTGCACACATTCCCCACGGCAGGGACACAGACCTCACGGGCTGTACATGACCTCCGCCCTCGCTCGCGTGTCCCACACCCACCACACCGACGGGAGGCGCAAGCAGCCAGCAGGCCCGCCACAGAAGCCCCTGACTCTCCTGCTTCCTGCCACCGCCCATCCCAGGAGCCCAACCGGAGGCTCCCGGAGCAGCTGGGGAAGGTCTGGGCTCCCCAACCCACGGCTCAGCCTCCACCTGTGCCCCACAGCCCCACCCCCTCCCCGTGTGGCCTCAGCTCGGAACCTCCCACCGCTGTCCAGAACGCCCCCCCGTCCAGCCCTCCACACACACACACCAATGTCCGGGCACTGTCCCCACAGCCTAGCGCACAGCAAACACACCTTGTGCTCCCAGACCCCACTCCAGCCATGTGCTCCGAAGAGGACCCACTGCATCATCCTATACCCCACTCTCAGATGCCCACCAGCAGGCCCCTAACACCTGCAACCCTCAGTCTCCTACACGCACACGCACACGCACACACCATGCATGTTTTCCTCATGGGTACAAACAAACACACACAGCACTGGGGAGAGACATGGCCCCCTTCCCAGGGCTACCACACCCCTGCCATTTTTCTTCGATGCCACCCCATCTTGACCCACAGCTTCCCCCAAAGAGGCACCACAGGCTCCCACGGCGATCAGAGGGTGCCCCTCACCACGACTCACGCCCACCCAATCCTCTCCAGAATCTTAGAGCAGCTAGGCAGGGTGAGGGACCCAAATCAGGTGGACTTCGGGGATGTCTCCACACATCTGCAGCCACTCACTCCGCGTGCAGGGTGTGCATTCAGGGAGAAAGCCAGGGAGGCTCCTACCCAGACCAGGAGAAGTCTGGGGTCACTCGTGCCCAGCTCCTATCACCTGCCCATCCCTATCACGAGCCTTCTCTGAGAAACAGGATAGCATAGAGGTTAAGCCAGAATGGATC